CGATATGTGCACCTTTGTTCCGCTGTTTGCTCTTATGTGATTAATTTACTTATTAAAAGCTTTATAAACGTTCACTGTCTTCCCGATTCAACACCAGAAGTTTGATCTAATAACAAACTAAATAAGTGTAATTTGCACATACATCGATGCTTTAATTCGACACTTTTCAATTGATTTAATAACATGCTTTATTAGACGTCCAATAAATGTTTTCTAGCTCCATTATTAGATTTCATTGTATTGCTTTACAATATTGCTGAATAAAGGTGGATACAGTCATAATAATAGCTCTTATACCACTATGCGTCCATGTTGTAATCGCATGCTTTGTAAATGCTTTATAAACGACGTATTAGATTCATTATTCCACAACACTGGTTCAGTCTAACAACAAGACGAAATCAGTCGAGTAGTGGTTACCGTTTACGCTTTCCAAGTAGAAGGTCGAGAGTTCAATTCCAAGCACAATCCTTTTTTTATTTGTTTTCTTCACCTAATTAATTAAATCGTTATCATCGATCACATCACTCACGACAATGAATTCACTTATCTAGTTTAAAAAATAACATAGCATCCTTTCTTTGGAAATTGAAGAGATGAAGTGGTAGAATTGGACTAAAGTAAAACAACGATGAACGAATTAATCATTTCCACTGAACCTTGAAGGAGATATATAGCTATAGCTATAGGATTGCTATCAGGAATGTTGATAGGTGTTCAGTTGCAAGCAAGCTTTTATTGATTATTGAGCTGCCCATATGATGTATTCTAGGATAGCTCAGATGACAAGGCAAGCGGCTATTGATCGGAAGGTACATGGCTCGAATCCCATGCAATGACATGTTGTAATGTATGTAATAAATTTTCTAATATTTGTATGTGGTGCGCCGCGCCGAGCTTCATCAGAAAAATGAAAACAATTACTAATCAAACGTTTTTATTTTTCGGGTAAATTTACTTTATTAAATCGTTTAATAAATGTATAATAGTGTCTTATTAAACGTTACTTCACCTGATAACCCAAGCGTATACAGCATCGCTGTTAAAGTAAACAATGATGTCTAATAAACGCTGAATAATCAAAAATTTGATCGAATAAGCTCTGTTACAACTCATGTAAGTCAAATAAAAGATTCTCGAAACACGTTATTCAACAACAAGTTGTTCAATGTTATGGTTGAATAGATTCTCCAGATTTGTGTGAACAAGGGCTGAATAGAAGCTAGTATTAAAAATTGTACAAGCATTATTAAGCATGCAGTTGAATAAAATCGTCAAGAAGTCGTTTCTTCAAAAGGCGATTGTTTGTTGGGTTAAGCAACATAAGGGGCCACCAAACGACATATAATAACTTTTGACTCAAAAACCAGTATTTTTTAAGATGAAAGCTAGCGATCTGCTCTGTATGATTAAAACCCTGCTTAATATGTTAAATATTTCTATTACTATGAGATTATATGTGTTCAATTGGAAATAGGAATAACTTTACAGTCATCAAAACAAAACTTTATTTTTCTCGGATCATGATCATGTTACTTTCGACATAATGAAAATTTGCTCTTGAAATAAAAGGTGAAATATGATGAGAAGCCATCTTAAACGATTGAATTAAAGGGTGGAACGGTCAAAAGTTGGTCGACTCAAATTTTACGATTTTTTTTTAATCGTGCACACCCCTCATTTTGTAAGTATGTGCGTATGAAATGAATGAATTAGAAAAATTTCAAAGCAAATTGACGTTCAGCATCAAATAAGGTTGATACAACAGTGATACAAAATCTGATGGAAGGTGTGAAACGTTAAGCTCGACAGTTCAAATTTGGAAAATCGGAAGCCTAATCAAATAATTTTCCTGTATTCTGTAGTTATTGAACTTCCAAAAGAAATAAAGTTTGATCATTTATACAATAACATAATCAGTGTGCACTTAATCATGAGTGACCAATTTTGACCGTTCCACCCTTTAGTCGGTTAAACACATTTTGGGATCATTTTCAACAAAATGAGCGGTGAATGGAGGTCGATCGGTGAACGGACACCACAAGAATAAGAATTAATAACGAAGAAGGATAAATTTAATTTTTTTTTCAGTGTCACATTTAATTTTTTTTTTGTTTATCAAATTTTAGACAATTTTCTTCATTTCATTCTGAGACCAAAATTGTGTAAGCTGATAAGTTTAAAAAAAAAATGAAAAAAGTTCAGCCCTTTCCAATGGTCATGCTTGGCAGACACAGTTTTTGTCGCGAACTGTTAATTTGCTAATAACTTTGCACACAGTAGATGAAACATAGGAAAAGAAACAGTAGATAGAATAGAGTTTAAGCTTGTTATAGATACACACTTAGAAAAATTGATGTATATTTAGGTGCTCTGAGACTGACATATTCGAGAATCAATTTTGACATAAAATTGAGTCATAATAGACGTGAAATTCAACTCAATCCAGGGGCGGGATATGCTGTCAAATCCGCCTACTGAACATCCATCAATGAGATGTAAATATGTATGGCTTTGTCATCTCTTTCGTTCTCCCGCCGTTTAACCGGTTGAAGGAGTGTGACGTCAAACTCCGTCATCCATTTAATCAGCGGGAGAACAAAAGAGACAAGTTTACTGGACCTCACCTGTTTACGCTCATTGATTTTTCATATGTGAATTTGGTTAAAAACATCAACAAACCATCGGCTTTGTTGTCGTTTGGAACCAGTTTTGCGAGGTAGGCAACGATTGTTCGTATTTGACGGTCATCAACCCCCCCCCCCAGGCTCCATCAAACGTACTTTGGAACTTTTCAGTCTCGGAGCACTTAATTTTACATGACATGTTTGTTTACGTCTCATCCTTTATTTTAAAGATGGATTCCGTCACGTGTAAGTTTAGGTATTTCTTATGTCGTTTTCGTTTTTGCGGTGTAGCTACACCGGTGCTACACTGCCGTACACCGAAATATTTTAGGGTGTAGATATAGAATGCACCTTTGTTTACAAACAAATGATGTTGAGCTGTCAAAGACTCGCGCTTATTCCTGCTTACACTACACCAGTGCTACACCGCAAAAACGAAAACGACATTAGTGTGTACGTAAAAAAATAGATTTTAATTCTAGAAATAACATGTATTTGTTTTTACGTTGTAAAAATGAAGTGATAAATGCTCGCTGCACATATCGGAATTTAAGTTTAAAAAAATCATTGGTGTCGTTTCAAATGTTATGATTTATCTACTCTTTGCATATCTATAGTAAACTATGATCCTAATCCACACAGCAAAAAATTAATTTTAATATCACATCAAAGTGGTTGCACTTCAATCGTGTCGCAAATATGGTGAAATATTACTTGCCAAAAAGGACACAATTATCATTAATACAGTGCATGAACTGATATTACGCGGCTTTTACTGCATTTGATTATTTGTGTGGTCATACAAATTACATGAGATTTTCGACATGATTGAAGTGCATGCTCTTGGATGTTATATTAAAATTTATTTTTGCTGTGCATCAATTACATTAAATAAAAACAAATTTCAACAACTGAGTGAAAAGTAATTAACAAATGTGTGTTGGTGTGTACAACTGTGCATGCCAAGTATTCCAATGGTAGTTTAGATTTTTTAAGTATGCAAAGTTGCTTAAGCAAGCTAGGTCTTTATATCCAACCCAGGAAGTTTCAACGGAATCTGAAAAGGTACTGCCAGCCACCTCCATACAAGCTTTGAGATTAAATTCATAAGCCATATTTCCAAATTGTGAAAGATTTAGCGATGCTTTTTATTTTGTTATAAATTTCTCCACATGGACATCGCAGGTCAAACAAGCTTGAGAGTCGCTGTTCGTTGCTCAGGAAAGTCGAGGAAATCTCCAACCAATAAATGTCCTGAGCGAAAATAAACTGCTTAACTTGTACCGTTGACTTGTTCGGAATGATACATCCCTCACCATTATGCCAATCGACATTTAAAATAGCATAATGGTACGCATTTAGATCTAGTTCCACCACATCCGATCCACCGTTAGCTGTTGTATAATACAGAGCGGCAACGACGGCAAAACAACCCTCAACTCATACCCAAACGGAGAAGACAGTGAGAAAGGAAAGTGAAATAATCCCAGTATGTACCAGTAGGGGTACCTGTATTTCATTACGCCCTAAACGGCCCGATATCCGTATGGAACGATCGAATCCAAAGTCAAATTTTGATAGGCGTAAGTATCGATCGACCACTGATTCATGCTCATGCAGATTCCGATTAGCGATGGGTGTTTATTTTCCATTTTCCGGCGCGCATGGAGTGCGCGATACACGCTAGAGACTTCAATGGGCGTGTAAAATTGCAAGCGACGAACCCGTTTTATGTTTTCTTCAGCAGTGAGCTTCTTTACTTTCATCATGCGTGCTACAGTAGGTAGGTAGGTACAGTAACCCCTCCATATATGCGGTGGGTGGTACCGTCCACCCACCGCTGTTTCTCGGCTGTCCTTCAACCAATTGACGTCAAATCAAAGTAATTGGTTGAAGGACAGCCGAGAAACAGCGGTGGATGGACGGAGGGCTTACTGTATAAACTACTGAGTTGTGGATTTTAGTGGCACGTTTTACCGATAGGGAAGGGCCTGAGTGCTGGGGGGACGCTGCTCTGATGGTCTGGTCCCGTCATTTGCATATAATATATTGAATGCAAATTTGTGCTTATTACGAGAGACAGAAGAGAAAAAAAAGACGGTGTGGGAAAAGAAATGCGTGTAAAATACGTGAAGAGCCATAGAGAAGCGGCAGAGAAAGAGATGTGGGACCATGTGTCGTGTCAAATTTGTCGTATTGGACTATACGTCTCTTGCAGCCGTATGTTTATGTACATGTGTGTTTGATGGAACGCCTGGAATCTTAATTGGGCTTCATTTATGCACAGTCAGATGACACCGGGGCTGATAAAAGTAATACATCAACGAGAAATAATCGTTTTCTTTCCATTTGGCAGTGGTACCGAATACTAACCTATAAGATATTTGAGATAGGTTGTGCAATTCCCGAACGTTTTCTTGTCTTGGACGATGAACTCATCGCTGGGTTTGTCGTGTTTCATTTGCATGCAACTTTCGTTCCACCGTGATACATGGCACCGTCTGCATCAGTCAAAGCAGCAGCAAATAACTCTATATTAAGTGTCTACTACGTGTGCAGTAGATCTGGCATGTTTTCACTAAATGGTGGGAAAATGGCACCGAATGAATGGATGTCGCTGCACTGTATTTTTCACTTTTCTTCAAGCCGTCAAAAGGGTCATGCTCTGCCCTCGATTCCAGCTTCAATCATGCACCAATCTCGGAGGTAATGATTGCACTTGGTTAATTTCTTTTGCTCAAATTGGCCACTGTTATCGATTTCCTGCCGCTCTTTCATGAGCCACACTAATTGCTCGGTAATTCGTTTCACAATAAATGATTAAATCGGTCACATTGGCGACAGAGCGCTGCTGGCCGCTGTTAAATGCCGCCGATCGCACTGATGAGGAGAAATGTGGATTTTCTTCCCTCTCTCCCCGAAGCGAAATATTTTCCTTTATTCCGCACTCCCGCCCCCTTTCCCCGGAAGCGAAAGATCATCCACCAATACACGGTCGACCGCACAAGCTCCGTGTGGAGCCTTCAAGCAGGTTGAGCAAAATAACAACACACCGGGATCGTCAGCATGTGGGCAACTAACTAAAAGCCCACCTTATAGGATCGGGCAAAGGAATTCCAACAATTTCACATAAACAAACGGTGGCCCGTCCACTCACACGCTCAATAAAACCACAGCAGCAGCAGCAGCAGCAGCAGCAAAACTCGTAAGCGCAAATGTATTTGTGTCGTGCTTGTCGCGATCCACGATCACCTTGCACTGTGTGCGTTCCTGGCCAATTGCCCAAGAGATCCTCGAAAAATTCGACCTCTTTTCACCGTTTTTCGACACTTTCTTCGAAAATTTCCCAACGAAAACTATCGCAAAACACGCATTCCACTTTCCGTCAACCGAACAACATATTTTGCATCGCAAACTGTGCACTTTTCACCCGATTTGAAACATTTTTCCGAGCACGTAAGGGTTTCCTGGCATCGTAACTATTTCATCTGCGGGCAACTACTACACCGAACCCATCGAACGAACGACCAAGCCAATGGCACAAGAAAGTTCCACTCTTCAGTGGATGATGGTTGAAAGTGTTGCACAAGGGATGGGATGTGGGGTATTTGTCACGCGACATGCTCAACATAATGCGTCTGGAAGCCCGTATGCACCATACCGGAGGCTGTGGATTATGACTATGCCATTTGTTTACATTTTCACAGGGCTGTGGCGTCGGAACTAAATTGGGCCGGATCCAGCTACGAGGTGGCCAAAAATATTTTCTTGCTTATTCTACATTATTGGAAAAGTTTTGTGTTATTTAGTATACACTGCACTGTGCGGCATAACAGTTCCATTAGCATTTTTGGCAAAAATGAGTTATACATTGGAATCGCTTTACAATGTGCACGAAAAGTTTTATATTTTGTTCAGAAAATGTCTCGGAAAATAACAAAACTATGTTGTCCCATCCATAAGAGCCTATGGAGACAGAAATCTTTAACAGCATCTTTCTCAGCTTGCTGTTTTAAATATGCTGAAAAGGGCAGTACATTAATCATTAAACATCTTTTCTCGGTGTTACCTGACTTATAAGGAATATACCATAGAGGTAACTCTAAGACCAGAAGGTCCCGAAGAAACGTACTCAACTTTTTTGGCTCAGCTCTGGTACTCTCTTTGGTCCCAAGCTAATCGATGCACCCCTCGAAACATAGAAAAATCCACGAACCCCTCATTTAATCTGTCAAACTTTCATAGCGAATCAAAACAAACATAGTATAGTACTAGAATTTTGACTAGAATGGGGTACGCTTATAGATGTACTTGGAGCCAATAGGCTAGTCAAGTAGTGAACCAATTTAAAATTGTTAGTTTCCACTGGTTGAATATACGTAGTATACGAGTAATTGAGTTCTTGAAAAACATCATCAGTCAAATCGTTGTCACTATTTTGAAATTTACGTTCTTTGCGTCTGGGATTTAAGTCCGATTCAAGATGAATCTTCCTAGATATGCGCTGACAATTCGTTTCAGCTAATTTCTTTTCCGCACTAATTTCAAAAAATGAACTAGTAATCATATTCCATTTCTCACAATTTATTCTTTCAAATCAACTTAAAGAACCATTTACATTTTGTTGCCATTTACAACGCGTTGTCCATCTTGTCACGTTCCACACTTTCGCATCTCTATCTACCTATGCAAATAATCGGTGACTTTGTATGCAAGACTACAGAGAAACAAATAAAAATTAACGAAAGGGTAAATATACAATGCCACAGATTACTGAAGGATCCCAACAGGCGATCACTTATCAATGACCGAATCGTATCAATCAAAAACCATTAAACGTCCGCTGACACAGTTTCGTATCTACTAGATCTACTAAAAACATAAATTACTCCATAATAATATCACTATATGATAAATAACACGTCATCTTGAACGTACAACTCCACTGAGATTTTTGTACACTGTTAATTTTTCGCTACGTACTCCCACTCGAATGTATTTTCATAGAGAATTTCCAATCGCTGTTCTGCCATCTACCTCGAAATTCATTTTAATAGTATGTTCAGACTACAGAGTTATAACATGTTATAGCGCTATCTTGATGGTGGTTTCTGTGTTGCAATTATTTGACAACCGTTATAACATGTTATAACTCTCCAGTCTGGACAGCGTTTAATATTCCACATCTTTTGCAGCATCAAAAAAGTAGGTGCAACGAAAGCAGCGAAAGATAGGATGTGAAATCTGACAAAAGTACACTGATCTAAAAAACGAGATTCATCTTGGGCCTATTACGAGTGTCACTTCACGGTGAAAACCAATTGAAGTGACCACTTGTCACTCATGGTGAAGTGACATCGGTAATAAGGGCCCTTGTCTGTTATATACATACCATTTTAGATGTGTCGCACCCCTCGCATCTTTAAGAGATCCTAAAAAGTTTAGTTTTCCAAAATATCCTGGAGTTAAGATCTTGATGTTCTGTACACTCAATGTGGTTTGGTATGCACGTTCCCGACATTTCAACACATCTTCCGAGCTTTGTAGAGCATTACGAAAACATGCGCATTAGGGAGGCCCAAAATAACACTTTGTCTGGAAACCTGATAGCTTTTGTATGGTGGCAACTCTGAAAAAGCCAGACAGACTTACCCTACCAGTCAGGCTCCCGAGCAAAGCTAGAGATCAAATTGAAATCAGAATTTGCTGTTATGATGTAACTTATTTTGAATACTCCATTTGATCTCATTTTGGTTGACTTAACGGTTAACACAGCAAAAATGAGAGCAAAATTTTACACTGTTGAATCAAACGGAAAACTAATTCTGCTTTCAATAAAATCAATTTGATTACTGATTTTGCATTCATAATGTTTGACTGAATACGGGCCTGTTGTAAATGGTTAGCATCCATGCTTCTCACGCTGAAAGATTTGAGCTCAAATGTCAGCTCGGGCTAGTCACGAATGACCTAAGATGTGTTAAACAAAACAAATAAACAATAATCGTTAGTTCAACGATAGATGAACTAAAATCAAATTTTAAACAAGAAATTAACAGCTGAACGTCAAATTAAGTTGCTTTGATTTAAAAAGTCTTGACTGCATAATGAAAGCACAATATGATATCAGACTTCTGTCGCGACAATTGAAATCAAAATGAGTTTTCATTATGATAGGAACTGCAAACTTTAATATCGATTTGCATTCATTTTGTTAACCGACTTTGCTCGGGTAAGGCCTGGGTGTCCTATGCAGTACCCTGAAGTCGATTCCATTCAACTCGATCCATCATTTACCAGCCAACAATTTAAAATTTGTTAATAAGGATCTTTAAAAGCTCCAATCAATTTTGTTGGAAATTTATTTAAATTTCCTCCAATTTTTTACGACTAGAAATTCAAACCAGTTTAACTATGAAGAGCTTTGAGTGGGTTGGTTTATTTCCTTTAAATTCCGTTATAATTGCTTATCTTTTGACAGATACGCGTATTTCGTCTACTACTTGCAGACTTCATCAGTGCCAAGTACTCAACACCACAATCTTTCAACACCACAGTGGTGTTGAGTACTTGGCACTGATGAAGTCTGCAAGTAGTAGACGAAATACGCGTATCTGTCAAAAGATAAGCAATTATAACGGAATTTAATGGAAATAAACCAACCCACTCAAAGCTCTTCATAAAGGGATTCCGTTAAGAGGTTCGACAAATTTAAAGGATCAGTTTAACTAACAAAAATTAGTAGGTATTTTGCACAAAAAGGTGATTAATATTTCACTAGCTTTTAAATCTACGCTAGTCCAATAAGCTACTGAAACCACGGCAGTGCTGTATTAATATATTTATACAGACTTATGTATACATTATTAAAGGATTCCTAAAATCTAGTTCATGCTAACCAATTTTGAAAAAAATTTGCTCGGAGATCGCAGTTGGCTCAGCCTACAGACGGTTGGCTTTTCATGTGCTGTCACGAATTTATCTGTTTTTCCGCGGAGTTATTTCAAGCTGAACAATGCATTAGGTCCTAACTAAAATTGACAGATTCTCTTCGTGGACTTTCTCAGTGTATCCCCATGGCCATGTAAAGACATTCCCAGGTATTTTCAGAACAGATATCGTTAAAAGAAGCTTTTATCTAGCATCTAATACGACAAACACAACAAGAAACGGTTATGTGATCAAGTTATTAATGAAAGAGAAAGTCGACGAAGAGAATCGATCAATGTTACTTAGGACCTAATGCAATGTTCAGCTTGATTTTTCAAGTTCAAAAAAGTTTTTTTTTTTTTTCAAAATGTGTGATAAGTATTTGGACGATTGATTGGTATTGTAGTGAATCTTATGTGCGTGTGTTTTAATTAAGAAATATCGGGGTATTATACCCCGTTCACATTACAGTCTATATCACGTAATATAGGCTGTGAGCAGCTCATTGCAATACAGCGTATATCACGTGATAAACGCTGTAATTTGAACGGGGTATTAAGGAAATATGTCCAATAGCGCATATTTACGTGTTTTTCAAAACAAATCTAATGTGTTTTCACTCAGAATCACTAGAAGAGCTGCTGAACTATCATCTGGGAAACTGTTTATATCAATTATTCTTTGAATAGTACGTGAAAAAATGCTGTTGGTCATATTACCCCGGGACTCGTTTTACCCCACCTTACCCTACCTATGACTATTATTTGTAAAAACTCTTCTAAACCATCAAATAATTCGTGTGTGTTTGTGTATGTATGTGTTTCTTGAATCTTTGTATATACGCCGCACATTATGCAATGTCATTAATTTCCAATGCGAAAACCCGACATCAATTCAATAGCTTGTGGGAAAATTACATTTTACTGCAGAGGTGTCACCATACAAATTGTATGGAGAAAACCAATGTCTTGACATTTTTCCTCATTACATTTTCATGACATTTACAACCTCTAGGCTGGGTAGCCTGAATGCCCTGGACAGGAGGCAGAACATCTTTTTGCCTTTTTATTATTGAGTATTTCCAACCCAAAATGTAAACCGGAAACATTACCTATATGTTCACTGCTACCAATGGTTGCATTTTACATTTAAATATGATTTATTTTTCGAGAGTAGGTTTTGAAAAAGGTGTTTGCAAAAATTTTAATATATTTTTTTCAAAAAATCATAACATGAAAATGATTGATCTGATCAAAATAACATTTCCATTTGAGAAAAAGTTGTAGGTAATTAAACGTTCTTCGCGAAAAAAAAGGTTAAAAAAAACTCAGTAAATTCATACTAAAAAATATAATACATTGATTTTCTTAAAACATGCTCCCATCGATTTTTATATTTTTTGTAAAGAAAGCTGAAGTAATAGCCTAAAATTTGGTGAAAAATTTAACCTAGGAACTGGCTTTAATCTATTTTTTTTAATTTTACTGATTTTAAATATGAAACAGAATTGCATATTTCTTATAAAGTAAAAATTTATTTGAAGTCCAGCCGTTGCGAATTTAAAAAAATAATATAATTATGAATTTTCAACATTTTAGACCATTTTCAAATGTTAGTCGCGATGTTCAGCAACAAAATGTGTTTTCCATGAGTGTATATTAAATAACAAATAATTCGTTCTCAGATATAGAGACTGTCAGGCTTGCTCGTTTCAATCTAGGCGCAGTGGAAGAGAAACAAGTTTATAAGTAAACACTTTCCGATACACCCAAATAATCAATTAACTCGCTAATGTGCCTTTTTCAGGCCTCTTTTAGCTGTATAACTGGGTAGAATTGTGTATGTCTGTGCGTTGAATTGATTGATATTTAAATGCATAAGCACGTAAAATCGTCAATTGTTCACTTTACCCCTTCTGCTAATTTTACCCCCACTTTCCCTAACAATCATATGTCAACTAAGGATAAGAATAAAAATTATTCAGAGCGAAAAGTTTAAGAATTTATGTTTAAATTATGATTGCAATTGTAATTTAACAGCCCTCACCCTGGTGGCCACTGCCAACCCATCGTGTTAGGTGAAGACCTACCAAGCCTAAGCGTTAAAACATACCAGACCGTATAGCATGCCGCAATCGTGACTAGCCGGCACAATATGTCCAAACTAGTACTCCGATATATTAAATAGGGATAGAAAGAGATGGAGAGGGAAAGCGTAAGCGATATCAATTTGCTGAAAGAAAAGAACATAAAGAATGAAAATATTAGTTGCCTCCTAGGTCCATCGCTATGGCTGATCCGTACGGTATACCGATACCTGGCACTAAACATTGACCGTTTCATATTTGGTTGAACCGTACGGTATATTAACACCTGAAATTATACAAAAACAAATGACATATTAGCACCGACAAACCGACATGAAACTTAATCTTAACTCTTGATCGAGAATCCATAACGGCGGATTCAAATGTGCAGTGATCCCATCTGTCAAAACCTCGGTCAAAACCATAGAAATTTGTTATCTAGATAAAAATAATTTGCCCGAAATAGATTAGACACGAACCAACTCATACGTGTTGTATGCGTGTTTGTGGCAAGGATACACATTTTTCGCGAACACGGCGGCAGATGTCAGTTTTGTGCTTTGATCAGAAATTTGATGGTACTTTGTATGGTCATTCATGTCGGTTTGTCGGTGATATTAGCACCCCCCCCCCCCCCCTATGCCAATATCTGAAATTTAAACAAAAAACAAATTAAACATTACCACCAACACATAACATTAGGGCTTTACTTCCCTTCCGAAGGAAGACGTGATCAGAGATGTTATGCCTCAGAGCATCCCGGAGACGCCGAATGGGATTGAACCCAGGCCTGATGGGGTGAGAGATAATCACGCTTACCACTACACCACCGCTCATCCGCGTCCACGTAATACCACGTAATGTACAGCAAATCCAGTGGTAGCTACGAAAAAAATAAATCTCCATTAATCCTCCAACATCCAATCGTCCGATGCTGCCACATCAAGAAGAAGCGACCGAAGGAGGTCTCCATTTGTGACATTTCATTGCAGTTTTTGAGAGTCCGGAAAAGTTGACCAGTTTTGGTTCGATCATTCCAATTTTATCTATAAATTAGGAATTTGGCTAACATTAGAGGCAGTTGATGATCTTTCCATTACACTAGGGTAGATGTACCAGCTATGGCCATACGTTTCTATTATGGTTTGTTCCAATTATGGCCTATGGGAACAGTGATTACTTTACATACCAGCTTTACGAAGCTTTGCGGGTTCAAAAATCAGTCTAGATATTGAACAAGATTTATTTCAGCCTGTAGAACATCAATACTCAAGGACGATTTGTCGATTTGTAGAAAGTTAAGGGCCGAGTTAAGGGCTCTTCATAGACTATCTACTTCAGAGGCGTGAGGAGTGGGTGGGACCTGTCATACGCACAAAAATATCTGGGTGGGACAGTCAAAGCTTTGTCCCACCCATGATTTTATAGAGAACATAGTTAAACACCTGAATTAATCCTCCAATGATAAAATGTTACCCTTCTTATTAAGTGAAATTCTGACTAAAGTGCTTATACGATCAGAAAAACTAGATGATGAATTTAGACCCTTAGCTAGAAACTGTGGTTGGGGGTTCCCGGAACATGGCCGAAGGGGGCCAGTATATCCTGTGCTTTGATTATTACCTACTACCATTGAACTATTTAGTTTTTGAATTATGATGAATTTTATTCATTCCAGGTCGCATTTTAATTAATGGCATTTTTAAACCATAACATGTTCCGGCCATACATCTCCGGAATCAGTTCGTGATTCCAAAAATATTCAAAAAGTTCTTTGAGATCATAGTACCTTGTCCCACCTACATCTTTGAAGGTGGACGCTGTTTTAGAGATGTTTGAATATGAGATATTCAGCCAAATATTTGATGTGTACCTAAACATATCAGTGTCAACATTTCAAATGAGCCTAATTGCAATTGTAAACAATGGCTTTAGCCATCAATTTCTCGCATACTCATGAAGATTAATGACACCAGCAGGTAGAAGAATGTATCCTTTACCAGCTAGCATTGTTAATTTGAAGGGATGGGCTTTTATTTGCGAGAAATCGATAGCTCAAGCCATTGTTTACAAAAACAATTACGCCCCTTTGAAATGTTGGCACTGATATGTAAATTTGAGCTTATATTCGGCCTTTTTTCAGCTAACATGAGACCGACAAAACGTTTAATCTAAATTTGGGTCAGTCAAAGCGTGATACTCGTTTGCATATTCGGTGCATCATTAGTTTACCTATATTCCCGTTTTTTTTCTGGTTGGTACAGTTTGCTCATCGATTTTCAACATCGAAGTTGACATCGATTTGATTATTGAAAACAAAATTAAGAAAACGACCTGTAAATTATATAGGTATAATGTTAAAATTATTGTATGCGTGGTAAGCTTTCGCGCAGAAATGATTAATAAAAAAAGGTAGGGTAGAGTCGTAATCGCCCATTTCCGTTCTATCGATCAGAAAAGATCAATTTTTTCACCGTGCACCAGTTAATCATAGGTTTGTTCCGATGCGTTAGTTCATTAGCTAAAACATAAATCCTGTTAGGACGCATTGTATGAATATTTACGCTCATTGTTCTCAAAACAAAAGAAGCGCTCCTAGCGAATCCCCTTTTTCTACGTTTATCCGTAGGACGAAGAAAATACGAAGAACATCTAATGGCGTTTCAATGCGTTAGGACGGAATTGAAACTCGTAGAACGAATTTAGAATCAAGAAGCAGTGTTAGATTTTAGACAATATCTCAACAATTTGTGACTCTTTATCAAATCCAACGGTACGTATGGAAAAGTGAATAAATTTGCAAGTCATCTTTGACAAAAATGTTCCATTTTTTGTTTAAACTCGTTCAGAAAAGAGAGGTAAAGCGCGGGTTGTGCTTAGTAGGACGGAAATTAGATCAAAAACCCTATACCTACGGATATAGAGTTTATGAAGAAATGACCCAAAAATACGGTTGTAAATATAATCGTTTATTTGTATATGAATGCTTAGGCGGTATTATTTGAAATTCGAGAATTTTTAGAGCAAAAAAAAATAAGTCGCGACATCCACTACGGGCTCAGTGCCACGCCTTTACTTTCTTTGGTGTCTGTCCACAGTTCCCAGTCATATGTCCAACGTATCCAATCCTGGATGTACTGTTCTTAGCGCAATACGAGCACTTGATCTGTATGTTTGCTCCTGGGTGCATCTTTCCATAGTGATCTTTCAGTTCTCGATACTTCTCATAGTCTTGCTCACAAGAGGCACATTTGAAGACAAGTTTACGCCACTCGTAGACCACCTTTTTCTCACCTTCTGCCAACATCTTAACTTGTAGCATTCCGTGCTTTACGTTGGAATGACTTCGGCAAGCGCGTTTTGAGAAAAAATTCATATGGCAAAACTCACACTTTACCGGATGGGTAGCCAATTTGTGGTCGTGCAGCTCCTGTAGAGACCGAAAACTTTCGGAACACTGATCGCAGTCCCGATATTGACGGTGCACGAGCACGTGGTATCGGATGGTGTTGATGGACCAGAATCGCTTACCACAGTGGTCACATTCGTACAACTTGTCCTCGTCTAGTTTACGCGATATTTTGCCATGATTAAACTGGTGGAATCTAGTATGATGGCTCCGATAGGCACTAGCGTCTACGAATGTCCGCTGGCATGGTTCACATTTCACAACGGTTGCGATTTGATCCGCTCCTTTCGAATGGTATCGCTCGTTATGGTTCTTCAATAGTACGGCAGAAGGAAGGTCAACACCACATTTGACACAGGCGAATTTAGCTTCGTGTAATAGCATATGCGATTGCAGAAAACACATGGTATCGAAGCTTTTCGGGCACAGAGCACACTGGCAGGGCTTCGGTGTCTCAGAGATGTCATACTTGCTTTGATCTTGTTCACAGTACAGTTCGTGAGCAAAAAGGGTTTCTTTGGATTTGAAAAGCACATCACAATGCTGACAGGAGAATGCAGTTTGAATGTAGGTGGTTCTCGTGTGAGCTATCAGTCCCTGCGGTTTTCCAAAGATCTTCGAGCAGTTGAGGCAGCGTAGATTCACGGTGTCAATGTGATTTCTCATATGAAAATTGATGCTCTCTTTATCCGTGAAAAATTGCAAGCACACTCGACAACGGTAATCTTTCTGCTCTAGTGTTCGCTTCTGTTTTTTACTTTTGATCCCTCTGAGCTTGTTCAGTTTTTCCATAAGTGGTCCAGTACGGCCAGTTTTGCTCAAAGAAAATCGTTTTATCTTATCATTCAGTGATCCATTTGCTACTGAAGCTGGGTAGGATTCAAATGTTGGTGGTTTTTCATCTAACTTCACAACCTGTTTGTCGCATATCGTTTCATTTCCCGGAACGATATCTTCAACTTGCTCCGGAATTTGTTCGTTCTTTATGTAAACCGACGGACAATCCTTCCATTGAAACCGGATTCGTTTGATCTTGTCGTTGTAGATATTACATTTTCTTCGAAAGTGGTCAAATTCCTCCAGTTTCGACAGGCACTGACTGCAGATTGCAGATGGCAAATCTTCCGTCACATTCAGTATTATGCCGGTCAACTTTTTCAGTAGATTGATGATGCACTGCAGCGGAATACCTGTTGCTGGAAAAATTGATACCAAATCTTTCCCCTTTGAGTAGCAAAACCGGCAGTATGATTCCGGTTCATCAGTCGGTCTAGGAAAGTAACAGTTTGTTATATTTCAGAATGGTAATAACGTCAAACATAACTTACGGGTCCGGAACTTCAATTTTGATGCATTTCGCCATTGGATTCAGGCAGGTAATTTCCTAGTTGGCAAAATAACTTCTCACTTCAATTGTATGTTCGAATTCCTCGGAATGCAGGTATACATATAATTCTCCGGTTTCGACCGCGGTAAAAAAAATGCTTACTGTTGCAATTTTGTAATTTTTAAACAAGAACATCTGAACAAAGTAGAGAAAGAGTGAGTTTGTTGTTCAACATCGTTCATTTACAGTGGAGCAAAGAATTGTGCGAATGCAAACGGAAATAAGGCCGGAACAAACATTTATGGCGGTGAGCTCCAACCCTGATGGGTACTTACAAGTAACAAGCTCGCGTCACTTTTCAAATAGACCAATGTAACAAATGTAAACAAATCGAGTTAAGCGATACAAGCTATTGCTCTTCTATAATTGTATGTGATACAAAAACACCCATTCAAATTTACTTTCATTTATTTAAGATAATCATTGATCAAAAATTGTCAAATGTACAGTTTGAAATGATGGTTACTTGATTGTTACTTTGGTCATTCGGACTGCCTAACATGATTGGTGCTCATTTTCCAAAGGCGGGGCCAATCTAAAGTTAGGTACTATACTCTGAAATCTGTGAAAGGGAATCTAGTATCATGTAGACAAAACGTCCAATGTAACACTCATTGATTATGTCACTGAGAAAAATCGTCCAATGTAACATGTCCGATGTACAACTCGACTTGTCAAAACGTCCTATGTGGTTTTTTCTATGTTGTAGCATGAAATTCAAAGTCAAATTGTGATTTTACCGTTTCTTCTGAATTTTCAACGTTATTATACACTGACTACATTAAAAATAGTATTGCAAAATGTATTGTTTTTTAACAGTTAAAATAATAATCTGTCGAACTTCGATTTTCTTAGGCTGTGTTCCATTTGGAAAATTTTCACTTAGATTTGACACTTCGAAAATAAATTAAGATGTTCGAAAATCCCTCTGTTGTTGATCGGCCGATTTTCGAGAAAGCGTCTGTCAAAATTTATTTCTTGTCTGTCAGAAATAAGTCTGCTGGAATAGCAGGTTTATTTGAAAATTTTCCATCTGTCAAATTTAAGTAAAAATTCACCAAATGGAACACAGCCTTAAAATGGTGGATATGTTACATTGGTCTATTTGAAAAGTGACGCGAGAGTTGCAGTTTTCGTGTACACTTAAAAATAAAATAGTTCATTTTTAGATTAAAAATAAAACTTTTTCTGAACCATTTGGTGAATTTTTTAACTTTTGGTTAAAATTTGACAGATGGAAAGTTATCGATTAACCCTGCTATCCGAGCGTGGTTATTTCTTTAAAAAAAAAGGAGTTAAATTTTGACAACCGTGACTTCTCCTACCCGATGGATATGTTGGTTTGTGTAGGCGTGCCTTGAGTTCCGAGAAATCAACAAGAGAAGTCATTGTTTACAAAGGCTGTTACGCCCTAATTCCAGCTCTATCTAGAATTATTCTCAGTCGCTGAGTTGGTATAATTGGCCGTGTAGAAGAATATTCCCATTTGTGGCACAGACCTAATTGGTCCAAGAAGAATTGACGAGTGCACGGATGGATTTGAGTTCACTCACTCGACAAAAAGTGACACAACAGCGGGGCCCTGTTTACTAAAAATGAACATTTATGTGTTCATTTTTAGTAAACAGGGCCCCGCTGTTGTGTCACTTTTTGTCGAGTGAGTGAACTCAAATCCATCCGTGCACTCGTCAATATTCAATAATTCAGTGCCAACATTTCAAAGGGGCGTAATTGCTTTTGTAAACAATGACTTTAGCCGTCGATTTCTCGCGAATGAAATCTTACCTCTCCAAAATGACAATGCTAACTGGTAGAGGAAACATTCCTCTACCTGCTGGTGTCATTATTTTTCATGAGTGAGCTTTTATTCACGAGAAATCGACGGCTAAAGCCATTGTTTACAAATGCAATTACGCCCCTTTGAAATGTTGGCACCCCGCATAAACGCAAACCATCACTTGACCTTACCGATAATGGTTATAAATTGTTTATAATCCCTCCTAAACTTTAACTGAAATGGTTTTGGAACCTTACATGAACGTTTGTGTGATAAAGTTTTAACCTCATGTATTATGGTTTTTAGGAAGCGGACCTTACAAATAATGGGTCGTTAAGAACCATTACCATTTCAAATTCTTGTTTTCTCCATACATTTTCGGAAAGAGAACTATATTAGAACGTTTTTACTTATGGTTTGAGAACATTAATGATTATGGTTATGGTAGTCAGTAAGGTCCATTAATTGTTTTGTATTATCGCTCAACTTTACGTGGAATATATCGCGAACTGATAATTATTAATTTAAAGGCAACCAATTCGCGATATATTCCACATAAAGTTGATCGATGTTACAAAACCATTCATGGGCCTTACTGACTACCATAACCATAACCATTAATGTTCTCAAACCGTAAGTAAAAACGTTCTAATATAGTTCTCTTTCCGAAAATGTATGGAGAAAACAAGAATTTGAAATGGTAATGGTTCTTAACAACCCATTATTTGTAAGGTCCGCTTCCTAAAAACCATAATACATAAGGTTAAAACTTTATCACACAAACGTTCATGTAAGGTTCCAAAACCATTTCAGTTAAAGTTAAGGAGGGATTATAAACAATTTATAACCATTACCGGTAAGGTCAATTTATGGTTCGCGTTTATGCGGGACTGAATTAAACAATTTTTATACTAAGGCTCTGAACCATTTGGTGGATTATTTTAACTTTTGGTTAAAATTTGACAGATGAAAAGTTATCGATTAACCCTGCTATCCAAGCGTGGTTACTTCTGACAGACAAGAAGTTAAATTTTGACGACCGTGGCTCAAAAACCGGTCGATCGACAGAACGGGGATTTTCGAACATAAGAAATAACTTTCGAAATGTCACTTTTAACCACGAGTTAAATTTAACTCGGCAAATGGTTCACAGCCTAAGTTAGTAACCTCTCTCTTTATACCGATCTATGCGCAGGATAGTTGCGATTTATACATCTGGTAAAAGAATGTCCATAATTGCTGTGTGAAACGCTTCGTTTTACCCTCGCACAGACCTAACTGGTCGATAGAGCTTTTTGACGTTTAATCGGCGCACACTACTGCACCATTTAAATCGAATGAGTGCGAGCAAGAGGGAAACAGATTAGTGGGAAAACAAACCGTTCATTAATTTATGTGCGCTGGATAAAGAAAGACTATTTAACGTGAAAAAGGTCTCACACTAACTTTAGATTGCTGGAGTCAGTAAAATTTTACTGGGTTTTTGAATTGCGGATCCCCCAGTAATCATCACAGCAAAAATTTGCATTACCGAACTGTCCGTAAAGTCAATCTGTCAAAAATAACTGTTCATTCAGTAATAGGTTCGAGTTGCGTATACTGGAAAGCCCAGTAATTTTTTTGTTTATTTAGTTGCAATTTAACTGACAAGACAGTTATTTAGTTAATTCTTGTACCGTGTTGCCCAGTTACATTAAAAGATGTGTCATTTAATTTAATTTTAATAATAATAAGATTTCCGGGAGGAAAATCATGTATTTAAATGTTAAATGCATTTTATGTTATCATATTTTCAGGCTGCTGATAGGAAACAACAATCATAAAATCAATACAAACTACGCAGAAACTTATCGCCCGAAGTTGTAATGTTTCCAACCTCCATAAAAACTGACTTAAAGATTACAAAGAATTGCTTGTCGCTTGATCGAAATGAAGACAGTCAACGACATGCTCAACATATGGAAACATTCCAAGAAATTCCTTTTCAAAGGAATAGTGACGTTCTTCCAGGAGATAATTCCACCGGTGTTGCCTTCAGGGAATTTTCCACGGACGTAAAGTGTAGTTTCAAGGTTTAATGTTGGTATTGGGTCATCTAATAGAATAGAAAATAATTTAGTCATAGCCAAATCATGCACTATACGTACTTGAATCCATTCAACAATTCCGTCATGATATAATTCATGGTTTCTTGTAAATTTTCACAAAACTGCGTGATAAAACACTTGCTCCCGGATTTTACTGAAGCTAAAATGGCGGCGGGAATAAAATTGACAGGTTAGAGTTTTACAATTCTTGGTCGGTAAAACAAAGTGGCTATTTCGCTGACCAGTCGGTAAACAAATAAAGCCTACTATGTGCACAGTAATTATTTTTACTGACTTTTCGTGAAATCTAGAAAATTTAGAAATTACCGACTTTCTCAGTAAATATATATTCTGTGTACAGTATTTTGCATCGAACGATACCGAAGTTCAGTTTGTGTTTTACAGAACGTCGGTTATTCATCAGGTTTAAACTGCATTTTCAGTAAATCTTTCGTTTTACCGTGCAAGCCCAGTACAAAAAAATACCGAACAACTAAATGCTGGATTAGTGTGTATATTTAGCCGATGTGCGGTATAAGAGGTGTGGAGAAAGGAAACTAGTGGACTCTTTCGTACTCGCGTCTTCTTATGCAGTAACAGACGTGACGTCACGTCTGCTGTTGCATAAGAACACCGTCAGGATGAAAGAGTTCACTAGTTTCCTTTCTCCTCACCTCTTTTACCGCACATCGATATTTAGCCACTTTTCTTTAAAATAGGTCTTTTTTTTACACATTAATGGGTACTGTCAAGTTAGCGTGTATTTGCGTGCATTAAACGTCACCAATCGCTATTGAAGAAAATAATCTGGCCACCCGTCCAACGGCAAAAAATTACAGACGCAACCGACGTAAACAATAATATTGTAATCGGCATGAATGGTTTTCGTGAGAAGCTGCTCAAAAGTTTGGAAAAAGTTAATGAAAATGGTAAGAATCGAGTTTTTTTAATGGCTCAAATTAAGCATTAATCATCTATCCGCGACCGCAACCAGGTGTTCGCCAACAGAATCCATCGAAAACGGATAACGAAATCGAGGATTTACTTTTCCAGCACTATCAGAAGGAAATCAGCTCCAATGGGAAACTAAAACGAATGCTTGAACAGTCTAAAAACTCTGAATCCTATCACTTCATTCCGCAGTTCCATTTTGTGCTGCCAAAGAATAGCGATGGATTGGCTCAAAAGCTACGCGAGGAAGCCAGGACGTTGTTCCTGCAGAAGCGTAGCAAAGAGTTGCTGGACAACAATGAGCTGAAGCTTCTCTGGAGTCTGCTGGAGAAGCATCATTCCCCACCGCTGATGGGCGAAGAGCAGTACATCAACTATGAAAACTACAGCAAAGTGGCAACGCTGGCGGGAGAGAAATTCAAAAGGTACTTGACTGCTTCAACCTTTGCTCGATTGCTGGTGTCCAGTAGCTATCCGGGGAAGATCAGCGTGATGTCTCTGTTCAACTATGCAATGAGGAAGGTTTGGCTGCAGCAGACCAGGATCGGTCTATCGTTGTACGATTACACCGGACAGGGTTATTTGAATGAGTCGGATTTGGAGTCTTACATTTTGGAGCTGATTCCAACTTTCCCGCAGTTGGAAGGTTTGGAAAAGTCTTTTCATAGTTTCTACGTTTGCACAACGGTGAGGAAGTTTTTCTTCTTTCTGGATCCGCTGAGAACAGGTCGAATCAGAATTCGAGATATCTTGACGTGTAGCTTTTTGGATGATTTGCTGGAACTGAGGGATGAAGAGATTCCCAAGGATGCTCAAGAAATGAACTGGTTCTCGGCACCTTCTGCCCTCAGCGTCTACGGGCACTATCTCAATTTGGACAAGGATCATAACGGAATGCTGAGTAAGAAGGAACTGATTGGATATGGATCGGGGACGCTTACACCCATCTTCCTGGATCGAGTCTTTGCCGAATGCCTCACCTACGACGGTGAAATGGATTACAAGACTTATCTGGATTTTGTATTGGCACTTGAAAATCGCTCTGAACCGCAGAGTTTGCACTATCTGTTTCGCATATTGGACGTGGAACACAACGGTTATCTGACGGCATTCACGTTGAATTATTTCTTCAAAGGAATTCAGGACGAAATATCTGCACATCGAGCGGAACCGGTCAATTTTGCCGATGTTAAAGACGAAATATTCGACATGGTTAAACCAGCTGATCCAGCTAGAATAACACTGAAGGATCTGATCAACAGCGGCCACGGCGAAACGGTTGTTTCAATACTGATCGAATTCCACAAATTTTGGGCCTACGAAAACCGTGAAGTTATGGTAACGGATTCTACAACAAACGATGAAACACACAATTTATGACATCGCACGCAACAGACTACAGAGGGCGATGAAGATGTCACGGCATTTTGAATCTCATAACTTTTAAACTGCTGCTCACCCATAAGTGCTCTTAGAATTTTACATTCCGCAAATCAAACAGTATCGATTTTATGTATTTTTTATGCTCAATAAAATATTCGAAGGTTATTTCGATTTAGCAACTACCTAGTCTACGGAAAGGGAATTTCTTTTGAATTGATGGGCGCCGGTACATGGGAAGGTTTAAAGGTATTTTTATGAAATAAATATCTTTGGCATAAAGCATAAACTGATTTACCTTTAATTTGCTTACTTTCCGCCATGTTCCGTCAGCATGTGCTGCTCCAGCCTGGCACTTTGCATAAACTCTCTCCCGCAATCGGCGCAGCAGTAGGGATGCCGTCGATGAATACGCATATGTGCCATTAAATTGCTCTTCACGCGAAATCGATGCTTGCAAACCGTGCATTCGTGTTCCTTCCTATTGCTGTGAATCAGCTCGTGATGCTTTAGATGTGTCGATTGGGAAAACGATTTCCGGCATATCTTACACACGTGATTCTTTTGGTTTTTGTGCTTTGCTCGAATATGCAAATTAAGTCCCGATTGCTGCGAAAATGACAAGCCACATTCACCACAAGCGTAAGGTCGAATTCCAGCGTGCGAATTGGCATGCGCTTCCAGGTGTCTCATCCGTTGAAAGCATTTGCCGCACTCGGTGCACTGGAATTTCTTCGTGTTGTTTTGAACTGGCTTCTGATTCTGGTGAACGCTTTGTATGTGTCTTCCCATTCCCTGCTTTGAAACAAATCGCAAAGTGCAGAGATGGCAGCGAAAGGCTTTCACCTGATCCTTCGTCACGCCGTGCTCCTGAGACATGTGGTATACGAAGCCTGCCAGTGAAGTGGTTTCCATTTCACATCGATCGCATTGCATTCGATAGGAATCCGTATCGTTTGAGGCTTTATGCAGCTTGAGATGATTGTAAAGCTGAGCCCCTTTATCGAATTTACCCGTACACTTGGAACAGGAAAACCCTTCCGGTGGCGGTTTGTGTGAGTTCAGGTGCCGCTTAAGATTACTGGTGTGAGTAAAGCTTTTTGAGCAAATCGGACAATCACTACTACTAGCATTATGGTACTGAACGTGTCGCTGGAGTAATCGAGCGTTCCTGTACGTTTTGCCACAGATAGGACAGTTTTGAGTTTCTTCTTGTTCTGTCTCCATTCGATCATTACTGTCCGCTTCTTGACCCTCTTCAGAACTTTCACTGTAGTCAGAAAACGGTGGAAACTCCTCGCCATCCTGCTGTTCTTCCTCCGTCGTTTCTTCGTTTCTTGGACTACTACAAACAACCCCACCAATAACCCCATCGAAGCCCTCCGCACTCTGAACAACCGGTTCACTCACCGGAAAACTGTACCCTCCTTTCTCTAGATTCTCGCACTTTTCAATCACTAGCTCGTCTAGGCAGTCCTCGATATTCGTAGCCAACTCCCCGGTTCCATCCTGGAGCTGTTCAATGTGCATGTTGATCTCATTATCCCACGTCGTAATGGGACCTGTATCCAAAATACTGTCAACATTCAACAGGCTGCTGCCGCCGTCCTCGACGGTACTGGCCGCACACTTGGCAGCCGTGGAGTTCAGCTCACTCAAAATCTCTTGCTCCGACTGTTTCAACCGATTCAGTTGCTCTTTGAGTTGACCGTTCGACCGGATAAACAACCGGCGAGTTTCGTAGGCCGTGACGAGCTTCATGAGGCACGTTTCACATACTACTTCCGGGAATCCGTCCGATTGGTTAATCTGTGTTTCGAGGGGAATGGATTACCAAAAACACCAACAGCATCTTTACAACAGGTAACTTACGGTCAAGCCGGTACAAGCGTGTATTACTTTGGGCAAGTAGTAATCGTTGTAAATTTCGAATATTGATGTAAAATTACCGGCATTTGTTAGGCAACAGCGGCAAACACTTTCGCAACTGATAAATTCCATTGTAGTTACGGATGTTTGCAGACATAAAATTTTTAGTTTTATTTTAACTGTTTTTGGAAGAAAACAAGACTCTAATGAAAATATCCCAGGGGTCTATCAACGAACTCAATTACAACGAGGAGGTGCGTTTAGTACACGGAATTAATACTCGACTGACAGCATTTAATTTTTCGGTTTCGGTTGGTTTGGTATACGTTTTGCACGGTTTGCATATACAATTTAATATACTGTGCATTGCGCACATTATTTATAGCCCGTCTTTCAATAAACTAAAGATAGCCGCCATGTCAAATGCATAGGACAAATTTCCCGCACAAAATAAACAAGCATATTTTCTTCTATTGTCACTCAGATGGATCTAGTGTGCTTTCTTTTCACCACTGGAATCAATCATAAATATAACAGGTTAACTGTCAAATTCATATGTGTTAGTTCAGTTAATCGGCAATGCAACCGTCACTGCCCTAATAAACAAATACCATTAACGAACTGTATCTCAGATGGGCGAGGGGCACGCAATACAAAGAACCGGTGCGTTGAAGTTAAAATGCAATCAAAAGTACTTAAAGTAATTAATACGTTTTGAAGTAGTACTGACGGTAATTTAAAATTATCTATCCGTAATCAATGTAATTAAAAGTATTGAAAATGTAATTAATGTACTTTAATTACGAAATTTCAACTGCAATTAATGGAGTTAAAAATTAGTTAATGTTCTAAATTGTGTAATTAATGTAATTAAAGCAGTAGTTAATGGAATAAATTTAATTACAGCCGTTGCATGAGTTGGAGTTAAAGGTTATTGCGTGCCCCTAGCAGATGGGTAAACTATCCCACAAATGGTTTGGATAATACCCCGAACACGTCATAAAGGTGAAAGTTAATGCTTTTCCGTTGATGCTGAATCCACACCCGTTCAAACCACATCCAAATTGACCACTTTGTCAAGCAGTTTTGGTGTGACTTTCTACCAGTGATTTCACAAAACTGGACCTACTAATTTCTATTTTTTTATGAAACGCACAAATGTTGGCTACTTTTCTCGTGGTTCTAGACGAAAAAATCTCAAAATAGTGTTTTATTTCAAAGTTCGAGTGGTAATAAACGTCATTTTAACTGCTCGAATAAATTGGTTAATTCGAAATGAACCAATACTAACAAGCATTGCAAATTAGAAGAATGGGAAGTATTTATTGAAATTTTGAACATATTAGTAAACATAATATTATTGTATAATTATAATAATTCTACTACTGAAATGACAACTTCAATTCCAAGATTCCAGGGTAGGCCCACTAATGCTCAGGGAAGTCTTGCCGTAGTTCAGGGAAAGCCTGCCGAACTTCAGCGAAGTCCTGATGAAGTTCAGGGAAGCCCTGCCGAAGTTCAGGAAAGTCCTTCCGAAGTTCAGGGAAGTCTTGCTGAAGTTCAGGGAAGTTCTGTGGAAATTCAGAGAAGTTCTGTTGAAGCTAAGGGAAGTTCTGCCCATGTCAGGGAAGTTTTTCCGAACTATAGGGAAATATTCAGAGAACTCCTGCCGAAGTTCAGAGAAGTTCTACCGAAGTTCAGGGAAGTACTGTTGAAGTTTATGTAAGTCCTGCCGAAGTCCAGAGAAGTTCTGCCGAAGTTCAGGGAAGTTCTGCCGAAGTTCAGGGAAGGGCTGCTGAAGTTCAGGGAAGTCCGTTAATTTCAATTCATGGAAATCAGGAAACTCATGCCAGAGCTCGTGCTGAAGTTCAGCGAAGTCCTGCCGAAGTTCAGAGAATTTCTGCTGAAGTTCAGGGAAGTTCTGCCGAAGTTCGTGGAATTATCTAATTATCTTTAAAAATACCAATATATATCAGAATACCTCCATCAAAAAGGCTGAAATTTTTACAAAATATACTCAAATACTTCTGATACAACTTGATACATTTGATGATCAAATTCGTTTAAAAATATTTTATTGATCAATAGCAAGGGTGGTTGATTTCTACAATATTTGAAGATATAGTTCAATTTATCTAATTATCTTTAAAAATACCAAGATATAACAGAATACCTTCATCAAATAGGCTGAAATTTTCGCAGAATATCGTCAAATACTTGTGAAACATTGAGGAACCTTTTGATTTGAAAAATATTTCTTTTAGCAATGGCAAAGGTGGGTGATTTCTAAAATAGTTCCATTTATCTCTAAAAATATCCAGATATATTAGAAAACTTCCATCAAATAGGCTGAAACATTCACAGAATATCCTTCAATTAGCTTACACATACACGCATGTGAATTGTTTTTATTATTTCACAAATACACGCGTTTCCCACACGACTTAGAAATGTACTCTCAGTTTAGAAATATTTTTACTATTTATTTTCAAGCACTTTCATTATGGAGTTCTTGCAATCACGCATATATGACATTACCGAATAGCATCCGTTTTCAATTATCAATAATTTTCGCAAAATATTTCGAATTGAAATACCAAAAGATATCTTACAATATGCATCAATTATTGCGAATGGAAAACGTCATGCGCGAGCATGATCCTGCTGAGGGTGCTGATGGTTTTTCTTGCTAATTCATTCATGGCTCGCTCCGCCGTGTGGCTTTTTTTTTGCGCTTCTCTGTTTTGTGCGAGGGTTCCAAATCACATTTTTTCGAGCATTTTTCTTCAACCTGGAGCATGCTTACCCACAGATACATACAAAAGCCAGTTGATTGCTTAGGAAAATGAAATCTAATGCTTGGAATTGCGTAACAAAAAAAATGGTTTGCATTGAAATAATGCATTTTACTGGTATGTTGTCCGGAGGAAATGTTCCTAACAAATAAGCGCGAACCATAAATTTACCTTACCTAAAATGGTTAAAATTGTTTATAATCCCTGCTAAACTTCAACTGAAATGGTTATGGAACTTTACATGAACGTTTAATGATAAAGTTTTAACCTTAAGTATTATAGTTTTTTGGAAGTGGACCTCACAAATAATGGGTTGTTAAGAACCATTACCATTCAAAATTCTTGTTTTCTCCATACATTTTCGGAAAGAAAACTATACTAAAACCTTTTAACTTATGGTTTGAGAACATTAATGGTAATGGTTATGGTAACCAGTAAGGTCCATGAATGGTTTTGTAACATCGATCAACTTTATGTGGAATATATCGCGAATTGGTTGCCTGTAAATTACTGATTACCAATTCACGATATATTTCACGTAAAGTTGAGTGATAATACAAAACCATTAATGGACCTTACTGACTACCATAACCATAACCATTAATGTTCTCAAACCATAAGTAAAAACGTTCTAATATAGTTCTCTTTCCGAAAATGTATGGAGAAAACAAGAATTTGGAATGGTAATGGTTCTTAACAACCCATTATTTGTAAGGTCCGCTTCCAAAAAACCATAATACATAAGGTTAAAACTTTATCACACAAACGTTCATGTAAAGTTCCATAACTATTTCAGTTGAAGTTTAGCAGGGATTATAAACAATTTATAACCATTATCGGTAAGGTCATGTGATGGTTCGCGTTTATGCGGGTGCTCTTAAAGATCCCAAACATTGTATTTAATTATATATTGACTCTTTTTTCTTTGCGAGTGTAGATTATAATTTGACAGCATATTTCATTATGCCAAACAGTACCGAACGCTCTGCCAGCATCAACAGCTGATTTTGACAGAAAAACAACACTCTGACCTGACTGGTAAATATTTTTTTCTAGTGTGATTAGTGTTTGGATTCCTCGCGTCAGTTTCGTACTTTGTAAATTTCGTGTATTTTTGGCGTAAAACATTGGATTGACTCCTTGGACATATCTCGGGAATATTCCAAGCATCATTTGGTGTTATCTAAACAAATACTGTCAACGAGCTTCGCTCGGAGGTGACCGATTTCGAGCGGTACGGGCGTTGTTCATCAGAAGGTTGGCTGCTCTCCGTCCACAGTAAACAAACTGCTTTTATTTGTATCAGTTTTATCAACCTCCCGTCTAATACAATCCTGCGGAGATTATATAATTATAAATATTGAAACACTTTATCTTTGCAGTTTCATGACACGTTTTCTCAGATATTCATTTGCTAAATCACTTCTAACACCACCACCGTGTCCGTTTACATTGGGTCGGGCAACAGCAGCGCCAAGCAGAAGCTTAAAGCGCATGTCACGCTCCAAGGAATCGCAACAGTCCAGTAGCTCTGAAACTTCGGGAAGTCCGGTTAACAAGGGTTTTCAGCGTTACGCTAGGCAGAAGAGAATGTCCGAAACGTGTCGAAAGTGGAAAACAATTCCATCGTCGGCACGCCGCGGTCCGGAAGATGTCCAGTTTACCCTTATGAGCTACAATATTTTGGCTCAGGATTTGCTGAAAATGCACGAAGATTTATACGATCAACACGATCCGGTGACACTTTCTTGGCCGCATAGGTATGATCGTTTGATTTCGGAGATCAATCTCGTCCGACCGGACATACTGTGCCTGCAGGAAATGCAAGATAACCACAAGGATCAGTTTAGTAGTGGTTTGGCAAACTTCAAGTACGAGATGATTTTCAAAAAACGTACCGGTGAGAAGACGGATGGCTGCGCTATTTACTATCGGTGGGATTTGTTCGAGCTGGTCGAATGCCATGACGTTGAGTACTATCAACCTGGGGTGAAGGTAATTCATTTAGTATAATTATGATCTTCTTAATGAATAGAAGTTGTTTATTGCTTTTAAATGTCAGTGTCTGGATCGCGAAAATGTTGCAATCATTGCAAAGTTTCGAGTGAAATCGGACCCATCTCGAAGTCTCGTCGTTGGCACTACGCATCTTCTGTACAATCCGCGGCGACAGGACATTCGATTGGCACAGGTCCAGGTGTTGCTGGCCGAGTTGGATCGATTGGCGTTTCTCGGGAAGCGGGAAAACGGAACACCCATTTATGCGCCAACCATTTTGTGCGGAGATTTCAACCTTCAACCCTACACTGCTCCCTACGTGTTACTTACGACAGGGTTCCTGCAGTACGAAAATTTAGCCTCGAAAACGTTAGAACCGAACATGTACGGAGGTTCGTCTTTCGGAAAGAAATTGCTGCCGCCAAAGTTGGGAATAACGGATGACTGTCGCCATGAAAGCCACCTTAACCGAACGGAAGAAGACGAGTTCAAAAGTACTCGGGTTTGTAGTGCCGAAAGGATCAATGCTAGAAGAACGTATTTACAATCCAGGTTTTTATGTATTCTTGCAGCTACATCATTCCAGTAAAGAACGTTCACCGAGTCCAGCCGAAGAACTGAACAGTGAATACTTCAATCAGGGCGCTCTCAGACATCGGTTTAAATTCACATCCGCCTATCGACACAACATTGGCGAGGAGAACCAGGAAGCGTCCACCTTCCAAGGACAATGGGTCACGGTGGATTTTCTATTCTACACCAAGTTCCAGAGCACGAGTGATAAGAGATTCACTGAAAACAACCTAAAGTTAGTAGCCACCTATTCCCTACCAACGGTGAAGCAAGCCCGGGAAATCTACACGATCCCCAATATGCACTTTGGTTCTGATCACTTTGCTCTCGCCGGTCGATTTCTGCTTAAAGCGCATGCCGAACCGAAACTGTAGCAGAAGGTAGTGGTAATGGTATTTTTAGGACTTTATTCGAAGAAATTGGTAAGTTTTAACTTTGTTCGTGTTGAGTACATGTGTTTTTATGAAATGGAATTCGGTGTAAGATTTGTTTTCTGGGATGACAATTCTTATTTGAACTGACAGAGGGACTTTCTTCAACATTTAATACAGAGTGGCCGATGCAAGAGATTTATTTTCTAATTGAATGTATCATTAATTGTTGAACTGTTCTGACTGGGTGTGGAATAGTAGAAGTTGCTGGCTACATGTTCTTTGAAGTATTCACCGCCACATTCGTCGTACAGTTGTCTGTTGATTAGTGACTGCTTGAACTCGTCGCTTCCGGCAAACTGGCTAGCTCCTTTCCACCCGTCCAGTCCGGGATCGCCCGCTACCTTTAAGTTGTACACGGATTGGAACGGTAGAATTTGCTGTAGCTCCCGCGACAGGCGCTCCTGAAATCCACGAATGTTGGCACATCCTCCGGTGAGCAATATGTTGTTTACGATTTTCAGTTGATCCTCTTTTGGGAACATTTTCAGCACATAGTCGATTGTACCGGTCAATCCGGCCTCCTGTATCCCAATCATGCTCGGTTGAAACAATATTTCCGGAACCCGGATCTTCTCCACTCCGATATGTAGCTGATGGAATTCTGCGATGTTTCCCGGAGCCACCACCTGTTCCACATAGGTGCTGTCATGTTGCTTGAGAATCTCCTCACATTCGATAACCTTTTCGTTTTCCGCTTCGCTGTCGCTGTCTCCCTCCCGACTGATAGACTTGTATACGTCCCAATCTTCGTCCCGCATACCGAAGTCGTCAACACCTTTCTCCTTCTTTGCCAGGTGTGATATAATGCGCATCCGTTCCTGTGCGGCCACCGTCCTACGCTTAGCCAGATCCTGTTTCCGCTGCTTACGAATTTGTTTCTTGTCCAAAATATCATCACGCTTCTTCCGCGTCTCGACAACCCAGTCCTGAATAGTCATATTGGCTGGAGGTTGCAGCAGACAAGGTTTTTCCTCCGGTTGATTCACCGACTGCTGGGGGGCATTCATCTTTTGAGTCGTTTTTGTGATTCGTTCCCTTAAAGTAATGATAGTCTTTCTGAACTCGTCCACATTCTTAACACTAAACTCGTGCAGTGTAAACCCTACATTATCTTCATCTTCCAAAGTATCTTCGGCAGCAAGCATTCTGGTTAGCAAAACTTTGTCCTGAGCCAATTTCTCCTCTCGTTTCCGCAGATTAATCTCCGCAAGTCTACGGGACAGTTCCTTCCGCTTTTCGATTCTCTGCTCTGCTGTCAGTGTAGGTGCCGAAACGTTCTGATTATACGGAAGTTGGATTTTGATAACATTTTGCTCGTAAAATTCCAACAAAGCCCAATTCTTCAACGATTCCATATAATCATAGGCATACGAACAATAGTTCTGGATCATCGTCTCCGCCCGGCTCAGAGTTATGGCATTCACATGAACAGGATACTTCAACTGCAGCAACCGGAACATGAAATTGATCATATTGAACCCTCCCAAATTGATCCGACGCACCTTATCTTCGATCATTCTCCCATTCAGCACTGGAATCACGTGCGTTGCCTGGTATCCACAAGATATGATCAATCCACTCTCCAAGTCCCCGTTCATCCTGTAACTGAACAAACTGTCAACACCATACACGATACCCGGAACTCCATAGCACTCGAACAGCAGCTCCGACATCAACATCCGGCTGTAGTTTGGATTGGCGATACACTCAGTCAACAGTATCGGATGCGGTACACAACCATCCCCGTTGATGCCCATTTTGCCGAACAGATAGTCGAAAATCTGTTCCTGAACATGAAAATGAGTGACAACATTCCGGTCGAACTGTGTCCGCAGCTGGAACCGTACCGCCTCGATATTCGCGATATCGTTTCCGATCTGTACCATCGGTATGGTCACTTCCTGATCCTTTTTGCTGCGATCCTTCCGCGGTTTGGCCAAGACGTTCTTGAAGATTAACGAGGGAGTATCTTTGGTGGCCCAACCAGCGCGGCAGTGATACGAACCGTTGTCGATTATAATCGCTGCATCCGGTGGCACAGTCGGATCTGGGTAGACACTTACAATATTCGGTTTTGTCTTGACGTCTTCAATGTCGAAAAGGCTCATTTTTATTCACTTTCCGTGGAGTTTCCGGAGTTTTTCGTACACAATAGTGAACTGGTAAATGGAGAAAATACATCAAACTGATGATAATGATTGTAAACAAGATCTGACAGTGTTATTTATACTGACGAGGTAGGGGCAATAAATTTATCATACACGGAGAAAAACCTGTTTACTAAATATTTACACTCAAAAATAATAGTAACACAGTTAGATTAAAATTTAATAATTTTTCCAAATAACCGCAGAATAAACTGTGTTTTGCATAAAAATTCCATCGTTTTTATATTAAGATTGAATACGTGGACTGTAAACGTCCAAAACATTACTTCTCCCTATAAGTTCAAGAAAGATAAATGGAAGGTGGAACAAGGATGTTTAGGCATATTTTCCCGAGTATTTCCACAGTAAATCGTCGGATAATAGTACGTTCAGACTACAGAGTTATAACATGTTATAGCGCTATCTTGATGGTGGTTTCTGTGTTGCAATTATTTGACAACCGTTATAACATGTTATAACTCTCCAGTCTGAACAAGGCATAAAACGCTGTCCAGACTGAGCAGTTATAACATGTTATAACGGTTGTCAAATAATTGCAACACAGAAACCACCATCAAGATAGCACTATAACATGTTATAACTCTGTAGTCTGAACGTACTATAAGACACCATTTTCAGTTGTAAGTAACTTAGAAATACACTCAAACACAAATTACAAAAATATTATTCCGTTTTGTATTCTCTGCGTCGGATAGAAAGTGCTTTCAGGGACAATGACGGAGAAGCGGTTCAGAAAACCATCCATCAACGGTTCGACTTTACGTGTTGGACACAGGCGTGTAAGGCAAAGAATCCCTTCGCTAGTAGCTCCATCCCGATTGAAGAGGTTACAAATACGTTGTGCAACGTACTACCATAGAGGTAACTCTCAGATCAGAAAGTCCCGAAGAAACGAGCTCAACTTTTTGGCTTAGCTCTGGTACTATCTTCGGTCCCAAGCTAATCGATTCACCCCTCGAAACATAGGAAAATCCACTAACCCCTCATTTTATCTGTCAAACTTTCATAGCGAATCAAAACAAACATAGTGTAGTACTGGAATTTATACTAGAATGGGGTCCGTTAGTCGATTTGCTTGGGACCAATAGTCAAGTAGTGAGCCAATTTAAAATCGTTAGTTTCGTATTGATTGTTGGTACTACCGTTCTACTCAGCTGAAACTCCTGTCAGGTCAGTCGAAACGACATGAAGTTAATATCCGTTTCAGGCTGCTTCTCTAACAACTAGTGTCGCGGCCAAAAGCTACTTTCTTCTCCGGCTAGGGAGAGTCTTTCGCTTACTAGGTTAGACACTGTTTTTTGATTCTAGGAGCTACTTTTTTCTCCAGTTAAGGAGAGAAGTTTTCACTTCTAGGTCAAGAGTGCTTCTAGGAGCTACTTTTTTCTCCGGTTAAGGAGAGAAGTTTTCGCTTCTCGAAAGTTCTGTCGGATTCAAAAATGAGAAGAATCTGGAGTAACCTACGAACTTAGTTTTATTTACGAACTTAATTATGTAAAATCATTTCCTGTCACTATGGAATTTTCCATGTCCCTATCAATACCGAACTTTAAGCTAATTTCTGCTAGTTATAATTGAATTTCTACTCGGGCCCCGTCTATAGTGCATGTTTTCGTGATGACTGGTTTCAGGAGCTGTTTCTTATGAAAAACCAAGAGGTTGTATCCAAGACACGACCGTAGATTTCACGTAGGATTACGTGCTCGGTATTAATATTCGGCGACTGTGTTAGGGAAACCACTTTTTTGTAGGCAATCGGTGATAATTTTGATCACCATTGCAACTGTACACGAAACGAAAATCAATTATTTTATCCATGTGTTTCACTTATACATTTTTGCCTTAACATCAGCCTTATACATTCCATAAGACAAACCACATAGGTCCTATAAGAATACATAAAAAGTATGTGTGACCGCGTATACATTTCATTTGACACATAATCTTCATTAACTTTTTGCAAGGCGTCTGCTTATTAGTTGACTTATACATTTTATGAATAATCAGCAATAGAAATTTGCCACAAGGTATATGGAGATTTCTATCCCGGTAGGACATTTGTGTAATATTCAATAATATTAATAATATTGAAAATTGATACAGTGTTCATTTAATCAGATTTGCCAATCGATTGGCTTGTTTGGAATTAAAATCCATCCGCTATTGACAGAGTTATAAGTGGTCGAAACATGACCATTTTTCGTAACGCGGTCGATTTTGTTTTTTTTTTCAAATTGCACCCCCAATATGTTGCCGATAGACGTAATCTTACTTCAAAAAAAGATGAAGATTATATCATTATTGCTTTCAATTTCTGACAAAGCGTTAACGTTCGGCTCGCGTTAATCGCTTGTCATTTTGTCATTTGCATATATTTTTGATTCCTTGGGTATTATGTTTTTCTTCTTCTTATTCTTCTTTCCTTAATTTAACGTCGGTCTCTGTTCCGCAATCTAGTGCCAATAACCGACGGACATCAATTGCCATCCATTGACGGCAATCGAATGTGCAGAGAGACAGCTTCCACACCTGCGTAAGATATCGCACCCATTCAACAACACACATGGGCCGGGACCAACGGCTTTACTTCCCTTCCGAATGAAGACGTGACCAGAAATTTGTATGCCTTAGAAAAATCCCACAGACCTCGGCTGGGATTGAACCCAGAGCTATTGGGGTGAGAAAGCAGTCACGCTTACCACCACACCACCGGCGCCGGCGATTGTTGAGTAGAACGCTTGCGCAAAAAGACTAGGGTGGGAAACGGATTCGAAACTCAAATATCATTAGTCAAATACATCCATAGACCATACAGGTCCACCGTTGTATAATTGGCAATGCACTCGTGTACTGAATGGGAATTGTGGGTTCGAATCCCACCGGTGCCTTTAGATTTTTTCGCAAATTTTCTCACACACACATTTTTTACCGATGATATGTGCTAACCTCTATGTATGTATGTTCAAACATTCTTACAAACTTATTCAAGAGTTACGTCTGATTGTCTGTGCTTCAATATTGTATTATTGACTGCGTAACTGCTCCCATAAATTTACACGACCTATAATGTAAACTCCTTTTATGTGCATCATAGTAACGAAAATTTACACTACTTTTTTTAACTGTGCAGTGTATCAGGTCCTGATTATTAGGTTTTGCACCGTCGGGGTTAACCTCAATCTGATGACGGTACTGTTTACGTGGACTTAGCTGATTTTTTCTTGGGTGGATTTTCTCGATAATTTTTCATACCTGAGTGTGGATTCAACTTTCCGTTGGGAAGAATCGCCCCCGACCGATGAACACGACTTACTCCGTTGACGTCCTGGATACGAAAGAGGAAGAGTGAGCTGCCGCTGCATTGCAGTCGGCTCGGACTCGATAGGCGGCGAACGAATGCCGTATTGCCAACACTACGAGTATAGTGATTGCGTAACGCTGTTGCGTAACATATGCTTGGAGTCACTAAATCCCAGGGAATATGCTTACCGTGTTGGAGTCACTAAATGTCAGAGAATATGCATGTCCCACATCTTCCCTCTTCTCCATAAAATAATAACCGTACCAAATTGAAAAATACATGATGCCTTCGGAATATGTTGTTAAACAAATCTAGTTACTAATAATTAAATCAAGAAATAGGAAAATATCGAGAACTTGCAATGGAGTCGAAGAGGTTGATGACCTTATTGTTGAATACGCTGAAAAAACAGTTATAAAATTTCCAGATAATTCAAGGGCCACGATCTAAGGGGGTTAGTATTCATGCAATTACACATATGACATTAGGAAAACATTTGAGTATTCGAGTCATTTCCCTTTGGAAGACTTCGGGGGCACAACTCACCCCGAACATCAACCTGGTGAAACGAAACATCCCGTTTTCGGAGAGGAACGTCGTCAACTCTCTGGACTCTTTGTCCAATTCCAAGTGGTAGTAAGCGTTAGACAGATCCAGCTTAGAGAAAAATCTTGCTCCACGGAGCCTAATCTTCATCTCCTCTAACAGGGGCAGCCGGAAGTACTCCCTTCTAATAGCCCTGTTTGCTGCCCTCATGTTGACGACAAGTCTGAAGTCTCCTTTCCCCTTTGCGACCGCCGACATACCGCTAATCCACTCGGGGGCGGTTGAAACTTTTTCAATAATGCCCTTGGCTTCCATCTCGTGTAATCTTTCTCGTGCTGCATCGCGGTATGCGGCAGGAATGTTGTAATAAGCATTCCTCACAGGAGGAATGGACTTATCCACACTGAATTTAACTTCAACGCCCGGCACTTTGGGAAACAACTCGACACTTCTTGGAGCTTCACAAGCATTAACGGCCGTTCCCAACATCAAAAGTTTCACCTCCCCTGCGGTTGTTCTCCCCAGCAGAGATCGGCGACCGTCAGGTACAACAAGAAATTCTGCCCAAGTAGACGGCTTCATAATTTCATGGGTCGTAATTTTTGCTTTGAAAGATCGCTCAATCTTCATCGGTGTACTGGCAGCGTAAGCACGGACTGTGAGTTCTTTACACCCCGCTACGAAGTCAATATTCACTGAACCATTTTCAAGTTCCCTTCTCAAAAGCTCCCAGTCACGACCGCCTATCACATTTACATCAGATCCTGAATCAATCAGGAATTTAATGGGTGTCGAAGATCCTACGCTACAGCTCACTAATGCGTCTTCATAAGAAATGAAGTTTACAGACTGTAGATGAAAACAAACGAGAAAATGGGATAGAAACACTTGCTTTCTATATCCTTTTGGTTTTCAAGCATGGAAAGGAAATAAAACACTAAACTTCAAAATTCAAACAAAACAGGTGCTCCTCGCAGTTATGGGTAACAAAAGCAGTATAAAAGTGTAAGATAGAAAAAAAATGTTTTAAGATCATACCTTGTCATCTTCGACGCTTGGTTCACGAGTTCTTGCAGGGAGACGACGATCCTCGGGACAGTCTCCAGAAGTGCTGTTAACTCGCTTGCGTCGGCACATTACAG